AGCGCTCAAAAGAGGAAATCTACAAAATCACACGCAAAGTACAGGAACTTCAAACTCAGAGAAATAATTCAGGTATTAGGTTTTTATACCTGTTTAAATGCATTTAAATTAGATAAACTGTTAATAATTTATATGATTTTTAATCATATCAAGGTATGGTTAGTAAGATACAAGATGAAGTGGAGTCTTTGTCTGAAGACATCAGTAATCAAGAGACCAGTATGACGCGTATATCTGCGGAAGTGACGTCAATCAGAGCTAGTATTGCTTCACTCCAGAACACTCTTAACTTGACCATTGATGTCAATAATGCCCAGAGGGAGACTCTCTCACGTATAAACAACCAACTAATATCACTAGGTAATATATCAGAATATTTGCATTTATAGTTTTTTTTCTCTGTGATAACTCTTTGAAAAGTGGTGGAGTTGATTTCTTGAAAGTTCAACCGGAATGTAAATTCGGCAAATCAATTGGTCAAAAGCTAAAGGAAGCTCAGTCGTATTGTGCTCGCTCCTTAATCGGAAGTTTTTGTGTGTTAGTATCATAGCCGCGACTGACCTTATTCAATTGAAAAAAATACATATAGGTTAATTGTTCCTTTGCCAAGAGCTCGGCACTCTGAAAGTTGCAGGTCCTCCGGGTGTGAACCCTACGAATCTAGAGGTTGGCACGATAAAGGACCCTTATGCTCAATGGCCCTGAGTACCGATCTAAATTTGAAACCGGTATATGGTGACGTCCCTATTAGTATAAAAAAATTCTCGAACACGACTAAAACATGAAATCAATCAAATATTTAATATAACTGCATGCATGAAGTTTCTTACTTGTTCATTCTAGTTCCCGTGCGATTGGTAGGTGGAAGTTCTCAGAACGAGGGTCGAGTAGAAGTGTGGTATTCTGGTACCTGGGGGACAGTCTGTGATGATTCGTGGGATATTATTGACGCTAGAGTTGTGTGTAGAATGCTGGGTTACTCAGGGTATTGTTTTTAATTCAATGCCTTCCTTTTCTTTATATCCATTTAATATTCAATAATACAGATACGACTAAATGGAAACATGTATTATTTTGTCTTTTTTCTATAAATAAACAATTTCACATGTTACAGGTACACGGCCTTTGGGAGTGCTCATTTTGGTCAAGGCTCCGGGACTATCTGGTTGGATGACGTTGGTTGCTCTGGGTCTGAAAATTCAATTTTTTCGTGCAGACATAGCGGAATGGGTACCCATAATTGTGGGCATGGTGAGGACGCTTCCGTTAGATGTACCTGAAGTGAAAGTTCTCCTTCAGTTATATGTAATGGACTCAGTTTAGATCTTACTGGATGAACCTGAAAGCGTATTTAATGTGCTGTAATGTTAGTTCCCCCTCTCCCTGCTTGACTGTTTTAACTGCTTGTAACTATGCAAAAATTGGAAAGAAAAGGGAATGTTTCCAATTTCAATGAATGTAATTTCACCGTGTATCTGTAAATTTGATTTGATTTATTTTTCCAACCTGATTTCATCATATATAAGTAAGGATATGGAGATAACGAACAGTATTCAATCTCAACGTCCATTAAACAATATACAAAATAAGAGCAGAGCAAACACGGACCTCCGAAACATCAGAGGTGGGATCAGGTGCCATGGAGGAGTGAGCATCCCCTGCCGACCGGTCACACCCGCCGTGTGCTCGTTTTCATGATCAGGAAATAACAGAAAAAATCCGTCGTCAATTCAGTGTATAAATAATGGACTAACACTTGGTATGAAAAACGTCAGTCAGCATTTGACTCAATGATAAATTGTATTTGCTGACAAGGGAATTGTATCGACCATAGAATTTACGAAATGATGACTTTAATCGAGACTGTTGATATTCTTGTTCCATCAACTTGCTTGTCAATAATTTACCTCGTTTTTTGCTTTTACTGTGTGACAATTTCAACAGATTTAAAGATGCCAGCGTTTTATGCCCGATCTGTGTGTCATTTATGAATAATGTCATGATATGATTCTTGAAATCACTGTTAATCAACTTTTATTCGCGACGACTTTTTTCCGCGATTTATCAGGGGTAATCTAGTTCGCGACGATTAATTTTCGCCAACAAGCATTATTTGGATCTGTTCTTAATAGATGATTGATTGATTGGATAACGATCCTCTCCAGAATACTTCACTGAAATAGAGACGTCACATTTGCCGGTGAAGGGCTGCAAATTTAGGCCTATACTCGGCACTTACGGCCTTTGAGCAGGGAGGGATCTTTATTGTGCCACACCTGCTGTGACACGGGGCCTCGGTTTATACGGTCTCATTTGAAGGACCGGCCCATTTAGTCGCCTTTTACGACAAACATGGGGGTACTGAGGACCTATTCTGACCCGGATCCCCACGAGGCTGTTCTTAATAAAAACAGAGACTTTAAGAAATATTGGCGATGATTAGGCTCTCGTGAAAATCGCGGAAATTTCTCTCACGCAAATAAAAGTCGGTTTACAATATATGATGTTAATATACTTGTATAAATAATATGACTAAATCTATCATGTGTACTGTTTTTAGGGTAATATATGATAGATAATCGCATTTCTGAATTTTGGGGTTGATTTTTTTTCTGGAAAACTATTTTAGATTTCCACATTATCTTTTAGATGAACTTGAACATACATTTGCAAATAAAAACTTTCAATATCTTAATTCAAAATCACTATTCGAGTCAAGTTTTTATGAGGATTTGCAACCTGATTATTATTACTAAAATATAAATAATAATCATAATTTAAGACAAATGACAGACCCTTTGTCGTATGTTATCTGTAAATGTTTTCACATTATTGACTTTTACTCAAGAACCACAAGGTAAACTTTTTTGAAACTTACTGCAAAGCATTTTCGGTGATGCGAATTCAAGTTTATTCACAAGAGGGCCAATCTCTTTTAAATCGAAGTTAATACAGAAAAAAAACAAAATGAATTTAAATGTTTATGTAAACTTGATTTACAATATTGAAATACAATGTTAATCTAAAAATGGTTAGCAATTACATAAATACATGTATATATTTGCTACTAGCATTAGAGCAAATAAAATAATAAATAGTTAAATTGTCAGTGCAGGAGAAGGAGAATACTTTAGGTTTAACATAAAATCTGACAAAAATATAAAATATTCTCCTGCCAATCTAAAACCTTAGAGCAATGCAAAATTTATTAGAAATATTTATTTTCCATTTAATCGATGATGTTTGGTTAAACTATCCCACATTTCGGTATACCGACCCCGTTGTATCTCCATAATATTTAAATTCCATATTCTTTGGTAATTGTATTACATAAAGTTTCGATCAAATGTCAGTGTCATCAGCTCATATAAATGCTTAAAAAAATCAAAACTCTGCCTCTCAATATCAAAAGACACAAATTTGAATAAAAGATTTTTTAAAAGTTTCCAGTGGTTGATCAATGTTAAAGAGAACTGTAATAGTGGATTTTTTCATAATGTTAATTAACAAATAAAGCACATGCTAAAAGCACAAAAATAAACTCTTGAATAACAATGCTGTATACGAGTATACGCAGAATTAACTATTTTAAGTAAGTCAAAGGCCAAGATTACAGGACACGAGTTAATTAATAACGCTGTCAGACAATATGTGTGATATATCAAATTCATATCATTGACAGTTCTTAAGACATAGGGTGTGACAGAAGGATAGAGGGACGTCGGGTTAAGAGGTTTTGAAGTATCGCTCTGCTTTGCAGGCGACACAAAGATGCACGTCAGAAAATGGACAATATACTTCCTTTTTGTAAGCACACAGAAACATTTTGTAAGAACATTTTTATAATGCAGACTTTTTAAAATAATATGGAAAAGAGATAAGTACTTTAAAGTGGGAATACAGTTCTGTTCCTTGTTTCACAAATTTCGGTTTCATTTTTCAATTGCAATTCTGAAAGTTTGCAAGTGCATAAAGGCACTACATACTTTATGAATAAAGATAAAGAAGGGATAAAAATGAAAATTTCTGCTTTTGTAAGTACTTCCTAAAACATCAAACAGAGCTCCTCTCGGTTATATTCTAACATAGGCTTCCAGGGATACGGAAAACAGTATTTGTGCAGGGAGAAAACAGTAATTGTGAATATTTTCAACGATGGAAAAGAGATATTCTGGATTTCTTATCGTTTTAATGCTTATAGCATGTAAGCTTCTTTACTGTTATGCATTGCTGGAATCCCCAGTGAAGAAGAAATGGGTGCGTAATATAAGACTTAAGGAAGAAATTCTGAAACTTGCAAGAGATTCAGTGGCAGGGGGAATTTTAAAGGTTAGTAAAGAACTAAAGAAAAACTTAGAGGACCTACGACTCGATATGATGCGGCGAGATGTGGAACTGTATGAGGAAATATATACTATTAAGGAATATTTGACAAGAAACGATACTGCTATAGAAAATCAGACGTCAAGCCTAGAAGACGGAGAAAGAAAAGTTTGGTTAAAGAAATTCGAATACTTAGAGACGGGAATACAAAAGGTGTCCCAGGAAAGTAAGAAAGCATGCTGATACAATCCAAGAAAATTTGGAAAGATTAGAGAGAGAGAACAGGGGGATATTATCGCGGATGGATACAACGGAGATTACTCTTATGAAAGTGGCATCGCAATCGTCAGTCAACCTGAATAATTCGGAAGGACTGATTTTCACAAGCTACCTTCAAAAACTCGAGCATGTAGATGATAGACTTACTGATATAAATGAAACAATTCAGGAGTTTTGTAACTTAACTACAGATATGCAGAAGACCATGGGGACATTTCAATCAGAATTAATGACGCTGAAAAGCTCTGTTGACGCGCTCAGCGGCCATGTTAATTCAACTTTAGATTATAATACCATTGCAATACGAAATCTAGCAGACTTGAATGAGAATAATCAGCTTAACATGACCAATATTTTAAATAAAAATGAACAGTATTTTTCAAAAGAGTTATTGAAGTTGATGAGGAATGTCTCTGAAGTGTACAACCTGAGTAATTCGAATTTAAATTCTCTTCAGGACCTTTTATCTCAAGAAAAACAATTCGAGATGCAAGTAAATCACTCAAAACAAGATCTAAAGAATGAACTTACTGTCTTGAAAAACCAGCTCAATATTACAGTTACAAATTTTGAAGATATGAAAGATAAGCAAATAGAAATCTCGAAGGATTTAATGAATATCAACTTGAAGATTTCTTCTATTTATGATGCTTGGAATGCCACAAATAAAGAACTAGGAATTCTGAACAATTCTTTCTCTGAAAAGTTGATTGATTTTAAAACGCAGGTTCAGTTAGTTTTCAAGGAGAATGTGAATCAGAGTGAGCAATTGACCAACATAACAGCCACTGTAGATAATATTCAACGTAAAATACGTTATTTAGGTAATATTGTGATTTCATGCATGTTTCAATTTCTGTTATAATTGTACTCTTTTTCGGCAAAGACTGCTTAAGTCCAGATATGTATTTAAGATTTTAAAAAAGCGTATGAATGAGAATTGTGGTCACTTGGTAGAGTGCTTGTTTATATTGAGATAATCACACAATAGAGGATCGAATTATTAAAGCTCTACTGAAGTCTTTTAAATGCCAAATCGGAGTCGGCCATCTTAGTTTTCGATAACCCTACTATCTGCTAACCAGGTATCACCCAATTGTGTGGTCACGCACGACTGATTTAGTCAGTCGGTTTCATTCGAATAGGATATTCGCCAAGGCCTATTTGTAAAAAATTTATTCAATAAAATAAAAAGGCCGAAGTATCTCAAATTCTGAGATAAAATAAATGCTTTTGATAGCATCTTTGGTGTTGAGCAACGCTGATAACACGCAGTTACATAGTCACAGAAGTTGGTACTTGTGCAGCTGCAGTCCACGTGCACTATTCCTGGTTGTAAATATCCAAGACGAGGCCGAAGGTAAGATAAACGAGCATAAATGCAAAAGCACCTAAGAAATAAATTACGAACCAAAAAATATATTTACTTCGTAAAAAGTTTGCAATGTGACAGGACCTCAGCTGACCGACCGACGACACGTCTGCACTCAGCACGATATGACCGTGGTATGTCTTGCCTATGCGCAAAGGAAAGACTGGAGTGAATCCAAAAGCACATGTGTAAACACAGGGGAGCAATTATTATAGCTGTTCACGAATAAAAGTGACAATAGATAAGTACAGTTGTTGGCGAATTGTAAAATTAAATCGTTTTATATTGCTTTAGAGTGTCAGCAGTATGAACATCG